CCACGCGGGACCTCGGAAGTGAAGAGAAATTAAATCTCTTAATGAATTAATGAATTAACGCGCTATTTAATTATTAATAAAGAAACGAGGGGGTGCGATGCACACGCGTGAACACACGACCACACGCGCACAGGCGAACACATCCCCCCCAGACACACACACCCCACACACCCCACACGCACCCAAAATTGTGATTAAAAGGGGGGGAAAAGCCACCTCCGAACGTTACACTATCATGAGAGCAAAAGGGAGAGCAACCCTCTGCCAGCAGCGAAAGCAGATGGGCTAAGACCGTGAATAATTTGCCTTTTATGCTCCAAAGCCCTAAGAAAACTTATATTAAAGCAGCGAGGAGCAATAAAAGTTTTATGGTCCTGCAAGGGGGGCGAGGCGCTTGTCGGGCTCGGAACGCTCCGTTCCTGGGGCCGAGGAGGAGGAGGGGAGAGGAGAGGGGGATTTGATCCCCACCGGGAGAAAAGGGGCGAAAAGGCTGCGAAAGGCACCAAAAATTAGGGGTGGGCTGTGGAAACAACGCGTGTTGAGTGTGTTTTAGACACCTGCGTGCCCAGCCAGAGGTGTCCGGATAAACCCCCGGGGGTAAAAAGGCGCAGCGGGGAGAGGATCCCACGAGGGCTGAAGGAACGACGCCGTTCCTCCCTGCTCCCCCCTAATAAATGAAGTTCCAGGTTAATAATTATAACCTTCCCCCGACAATAAATATACGGGAGCGCCGAGAGACAGGGCTTGTTTTTCTCCCCGGGCCCGGGTTCTGCCCGCCCATGCAGGGACCAATTTCCCGGCCGGGGTTACTATAATTTAAAAGCAGAAAAGCGTGCAGGCTCTGATGGGGAATCGCCTCAAAGAACAAGGGGCCGGCGTCGCCTTCCCCCCTCCCGCCCCCCCTGCAATGTATTTTTCCCGTCGCCATGTTGCTGGGTCGGTGGCGGGGATTCCCAGGAAATAGTTACAACCGGGAAAAAAGGGAAAAAAAAACAAAAAAAAAACACCAAAAAACCCCCCAATTCCGGGGCTCCGGGCGCGGCACCTCCGCGGGTTCCGTCCCCCACAACTCCTCACCCCCCCGGTTTCATTCGTGCCGCAGCATTAAAGCCGCGGGCCCGGGTTTGTCTCACGATTCTTGCGTTTCTCCATCGTTCACTGACCCCGCGAATTTATTCCTGGGATGTGACGCCTTTCCCCTGGAGTAGGGAGATTTTTTTTTTTTCCTTCCCTTGTGCCTCCTCGTGATGCGTGGGAAAAAAATTCCCTTTTTCCCCAAGAGGTTCTTTTTGCTTTTATTTTTTTTTTTAATCTCTCTCCTTTCTTTTTTTTTTTCCCTCCTCTTTTTATTTTTTTTTTTTCCTCGCGACTCGGTGCGAGCAAAAAGCGGAGACAACTGTTGGGAGCAGCTGGAAGGATTTTCCTTTTGCATCCCAAACTCTTGCACTTCATCCCGGCTCCTCAGTGACCCCTGGAAAAGGAAGGACTTTCAGCCTCGTGGCAAAGCCCGAGACGCCCAAATTTCCGCTGGATTCCCAACGAGAAAAAAAAAAAAAGATGGGAAACCCAACTGTTCTTTTTCCATCGATCTGCCGAAATTGAGTAGATTCGTGGCGATTTTGATAAGTGCATTGACAATATAGAACATTGCAGGAAAATCTCCCCTTAATCGAGCTGGTTTGTAATTTTTTAAATTATTATTATTATTATTATTATTATTATTTTCTTTACCTCTTTGCTAAACTCTGTGCTTCGGCCCCGGCTCCAGCTGCAGCTTTAGATTTATTCTGTGTGTCTCCCAAACCCTCACCACCCACACGGATGCTTGAAGGGACAAAAGTTTCCAGGAGGCTTCTCCCCTCTGTGAACGCAGCCGGTCCCTCCCGGCTGCAAAAACGGGAGAAATGGAGTTGGAACAAACAAATCCCAAACCAGCCCCTCTCCCGTTCGGCACCAGAACGGCTTCATCTCCCTCCCCCTCCCGAAATTTGTACTTTCTGCTTTTGGATTAAACTTTATAAATCTCCCTTGGGTTAAGCAACTCCTCGGCAAAAGCCGAATTTCTTTGCGGAGTGAGTCAGGCCGAGCTGTCAAAAGTCTTTGGAGGAAAAGATTGATCGTTCCTCTCTTATTTTCGGGTTGTGTTCCCGGGCACTTTAAAGAAGGGGAGGAGGGGGGGGGAGGAGGAGGGAGGGAAATCTTCCTGGGAAATGACTTTTCATTTTATTTATTTATTTTGTAAACTCTGGAAGTGGCACTGTTTATTGGAGGTGGGAAGGAGGGGGGAAAATAGATGGGAGGGAAGAAATGCGATTTCCGAGATATCTGTGACCTTAAAACACGTTTGGCCTTTAAGGAAAGTGCAAAAGGTCCATTAAGAGTGGCTTGGGCAGCAGAAGGATTATGCTGTTCTTTAAAAGTCATTTAACCCGGTAAACCGGGCTGGCCTAAATATCCTCGGCTCAAAAGCTCACTTGATTTCCCGAGTGCTCATATCCCGGCTCGGACACAAATCTCTGCCCCAAACCCTCCCGGTGGCTTCGGTTTTCCGGGTTTCACAATATCGGGATGAGCTGGGAACACCCCCAGCAGTGGCGGCCGGAGCCGAGACCCAGCCGGGCTCCCCGGGGGGGAAAATCCCCTTTTCCAGGGCCTGGGACCCCCCCGGGGCTGCGAACTGCGGGCAACTCCGAGGCTGGAGGGACCT